AGACTAAGTTTCACTCTTGTCCAGGCTGGAGTACAATGGCGCAATCTTGGCTCACCATAGCCTCCGCCTCCCAGGTTCAAGCAATTCTCCTGCCTCAGCCTCCCAAGTAGCTGGATTTACAGGCATGCACCACCATGCCCAGCTAATTTTTTGTATTTTTAGTAGAGACAGGGATTCTCCATGTTGGTCAGGCTAGTCTCCAATCCCCAACCTCAGGTATCTGTCTGCCTTGGCCTCCCAAATTGCTGGGATTACAGGCTTCTCACTCTTTTGCCCAGGCTGGAGTGCAGTGGTGCGACCTCAGCTCACTGCAACCTCCACTTCCCAGGTTTAAACGATTCTTCTGCCTCAGCCTCCCAAGTAGCTGGACTGTAGGCATGTGCCACCATGCCCAGCTAATTTTTGTATTTTTAGTGGAGATGGGGTTTCACCATATTGGCCAGGCTGGTTTCAAACTCCTGACCTCATGATCCACCTGCCTCAGCCTCCCAAAATCCTGGAATTACAGGTGTGAGCCACTGCCCCCAGCCAGAAAGTAAGTATTTGACTTTATTACTATGAAGCCATGTAGGAAAGGGAGAAAGAGCAGAGTCTACAGAAGGATTTATGACAAAGAGAGGGGTTTTCCATTTTAATATGGGAAAACTTTGCATGTATAATTTGAGGGAAAGGAACCCATTAAATATATAGGACTGGGATGGGAAGAGTATTGTCGTTTTACAAATAAAGAAAATAATGACAGAGAGGTTGGCCGGGTGCAGTGGCTCATGCCTGTAATCCCAGCACTTTGGGAGGCTGAGGTAGGTGGATCATGAGGTCAAGCAATGGAGACCATCCTGGCCAACATGGTGAAGCCCTGTCTCTACTAAAAATACAAAAATTAACTGGGCATACTGGCACGTGCCTGTAGCCCCAGCTACTTGGGAGGCGGAGGCAGGAGAATCACTTGAACCCAGGAGGCGGAGGCTGCAGTGAGTGGAGATCATGCCACTGCACTCCAGCCTGGCAACAGAGCAAGACTCTGTCTCAAAAAATAATAATAACAAAAAGAGAGGTTAAGCAGTTGGCCCTAATGTCCCCACAGTAGGAAGGGCAGTCAGAACCTGAATCTAAGTTTTCTAATACTGAATTCTATTTAATGCCTTTAATTCTAAAAGAGTAAACTCTTATTATAAGATGTCTGCCCTGGCCAGGCATGGTAGCTCATGCCTGTAATCCCAGCACTTTGGGAGGCCGAGGTGGGTGGAGCATGAGGTCAGGAGATTGATACCATCCTGGCCAACATGGTGAAACCTGATCTCTACTAAAAATACAAAAATTAACCAGGCGTGGTGGCACATGCCTGTAATCCCAGCTATTCGGGAGGCTGAGGCAGGAGAATAGCTTGAACCCAGAAGGCAGAGAATGCAGTGAGCTGAGGTCGAACCACTGCACTCCAGCCTGGCAACAGAGAGAGACTCTGTCTCAAAATATATATATAAAAAATAAAAATAAAATGTCTGCCTTTTTAGAAAATAAGAACAGATAGCTCAGAGACAGAAAATGGACCTTAAACAATGAAAAGTTGCTCAGTTTTACTCATAAGAGAAATGCAAATTGAAACTGCATTGAGACACCTATCAGATTGGCAGAAATTCAAAAACTTAACCACACATTTTATTGGAAAGGTTATGGGGAAAGTGGTGCTCTCATGCATTGCTGATGGGAACACAGAATTGTTTCAACCTCTATAGAGGGAAATTTAACATTGTCTAACAAAACCGTATTCTTTCTTTGTCCCAGCAATCCTGCTTCCACAAATATGTAATATCATTCATAGGAGACGAGTTGAATAAACTATTACATCACTATTCATGAGGTACTATACAGATGTAGGAAAGAATAAGGAAGATTTCTATGAACTGTTATATGTATTGGTTTTGAGGATATATAAAATGAAATACATGTAAAATGAAAGCAGTGAATAAAAACAATGTGTAGCATGTTACTTTTGCGTAAGAATTGGTAATATGAGTAAGGAGTAGCAATAAGTATATATTGCTATATGTTTGCTTATATTTTTTCAAAATAGAATAAATCGGAAACTAATAAAAATATTACCAATAGGAATTAAAGAGATAGGAGTGACAGTGAGACTTCTACGTTTACTTTTTAATAAACTTTTGACTTTTAATCATATAAAAGTTTTGCATGCTCAAAATATTAAATGGAAAAGAATAGAAAAAGCACTGTAAAATTGAATGCAAGCCAGGTACAGTAGCATGCACTTGTAGTCCCAGGTACTCAGGAGACTGAGACAGGACAATCACTTGAGGCCAGAAGTTCAAGGCTGTAGCACACAATGATGGCACCTGTGAATAGCCACTGAGCTCCAGCCTGGGCACCATAAAAAGATCCTGCCTTCAGGTGGATCACAAGGTCAAGAGATCGAGACCATCCTGGTCAACATGGTGAAACCCTGTCTCTACTAAAAATACAAAAAATCAGCTGGGCGTGGTGGCACGTGCCTGTAATCCCAGCTACTCAGGAGGCTGAGGCAGGAGAATTGCCTGAACCCAGGAGGCGGAGGCTGCGGTGAGCCGAGATCGTGCCATTGCACTCCAGCCTGGGTAACGAGAGTGAAACTCCGTCTCAAAAAAAAAAAAAAAAAAGATCCTGCCTCCAAAAAAAATACAGCTGGGCGTGGTGGCTCACACCTGTAATCCCAGCACTTTGGGTGACTGAGGCAGGTGGATCACAAGGTCAGGAGTTCAAGACCAACCTGACCAACATGAAGAAACCTCGTCTCTACTAAAAATACAAAAATTAGCTAGGCGTGGTGGTGCACACCTGTAATCCCATCTACTCAGGAGGCTGAGGTGGGAGACTCCCTTGAACCCGGGAGGCAGAGGTTGCAGTGAGCACACCAGTGTACTCTAGTCTGGGCGACAGAGCAAGACTCCATCTCAGAAAAAAATATATACAGGTTGTGGAGAATTTTCCAAGATAAATCTGGAGTCTACAAAAATGTCAATATCATGAAAGACCCTTCCACTCCCAAAGAAAGCAGAAGGTGGACTATTTTAAAGCTAGCCTGGGTATGGTGGCTTACTCTGTAATCCCGACATTTTGGGAAGCAAACATGGTGAAGATCACTTGAGGCCAAGAGTTTGAGACCAGCCTGGGCAACATAGTGAGACCGCCATCTCTAAAAAACAAAAGTGAAAAAATTAGCCAGGCCCAGGAGTTCAAGGATGCAGTGTGCTGCTTCACTCCAGCCTAGGTAACAGAGCAAGACTCTGTCTCTAAAAAAAATAAGTAGGCTAGGCACAGTGGCTCATGCCTATAATCCCAGTACTTTGGGAAGCCAAGGCAAATGGATCACTTGAGGTCAGGAGTTCAAGAGCAGCCTGGACAACATGGTGAAACCCCATCTCTACTAAAAATACAAAAATTAGCTGGGCATGGTGATGCATACCAATAATCCCAGCTACTCGGGAGGCTGAGTCAGGAGAATCGCTTGAACCCCAGAGGTGGAGGTTGCAGTGAGCCAAGATCACACCACTGCCCTCTAGCCTGGACAATGGAGTGAGACTCCATTTCAAAAAAGAAAAATGTAGCTAGAAGATAGAGATATGACAACTAAATGTGAAGAATGATTATTGGTTGAGTGAATATAAAGGACATTTTGGGGACATTTGTGGAAATTCAAACATGTATAATGTATTAGGTTATTGTATTAATGTTACATTTCTTTGATATGATCATGATATTATATAAGAAAGTGTTCTTAGATCATACATGCTCAAGTATTGAAGTTAAGTGTCATGGTACACAAATTGCTCTCAGATGGTTCAGTGGAAAAAAAAAGTAGGATATACTGAAAGAAAAGGGAAAGAAGGAAAGAGAAAAAATGTGGCAAAATATTAATAATTGGTGTATCCTCCAGATCATCTGCAGAACCTCCTCTCCAAAGTTTGCCATTTATCCCTATCTTAAAATGTTACATATCATGCTTCCCTTATCTGTTTGACAGAGGTTGCTATTTCTCTCTCTTTTCCTGCCACACACATGTTCTGTCCTTTAACTCCTTAGATCCAACTTAATGCACTAAAAAGAGTGTGAGCTTTGGAATAAGGTGTAGTTCAAAACATAATGCTGCTTTTGTATCTGAAAATTCAGCAAATGTTTATTGAGCACTTGCCAGGTACCAGGCACTGTGCAAGGTGCATGGATTTCCATAAGGAACAAAAGAGCTAGTTCCTGTCCTCTAGGAGCTTATGTTAAAGGTAGTTAGAAAACAAGCACATAAATAAATATATAGCTACAAGTTATGATACATGCTGTCGAGGAAAATATCAGATTGCTATGAGCAAGAATAGCAGAAGACATCTAATTTCAATTGGATGATGGTTAAAGACACTTATTCTGCTCTATGATCATGAGCAAAAATTATTTGAATTCTGTGAGTTGGTTTTATATCTGTAAAAATGAAGATGAAAATAACATTCTTACTCTATCATTTGTGAAAACTAAATGTGATAACATATGAAGTGGCTGGCACTTAAAGGGCACTGTGTAGATGTTATCAGTCTTCGTTTTGAAAGTTCCGCTCTTTCCCTCACTCATTTCCAAGTATTGTATTTGGTTGTTTTCTAATACTCCTTAACCTTGTCTTTTTGGCTCCATAGGGCTCGGAATGGAATGCCTCCAACTTAGAGGACTTACAGAACCGAGGGTAAGCACACAAAGTATTTACTGACACCCCTATGTGACAGAAGTCCCTGTTTTATCTTTACATTTTCACATCAAGGAGGTATCAATGGGTAACTTTAATCTTAAGAGTTGCTTCCAACTGATTCTAATCAGATGTACTCTAAGAAAAATAAAAACAGCTATTCTCCCTCTGTTTCATTCCCCCACCTCCCAAGAAATATCAGCTGCTTTAATTGAAAGACTTTGAAAAACAAATGTGCAAAACTTTGGTGATGTTTAAAATCAAATTTTTATTTTTATGCGAGAATACATAGAATTGCATATGTTGGACTCACAGAGCTGTTCATTCAACATTTATTGAGCATCATCTTTGGGATAAAGGGCCAGGTGCTAGGGATCCACAGATAAATTAAGACTCAGTCCCTATCCTGTATAGTAAGCTGCTTCAAGACTCTGTAGGTTATGGATGTGAACTGGACAAGCTTCTGAAATTGAAGAGGACCTACCTTATATTAAGAAAATTGTCCCTAAGCAGCATGGTTATTAAGTTTGATTGTAGCAATCGAGACTGCAGTGAACATTCAGCAAGTAAAAAGCTACCATTCTTCCCTTATCTAATGCCTACTAAGTTTCTCATTGAAATTCATTCACTTTAGGAAGTCAGATGATCCCAATAAGAAAAGAGAAAATCAGATCTGAAATTTGCCATGCTAACTCTTCATAGTGGAAAGAGATATGACCAGCTGGGACTCAGAGGTAGTGATGGTTGCTGGCTGCCTGTTTTCTCAGCCATAAGCCTTCTAGTTATCTTTATCATGAGTGGATAAATATACCCAACTTCTTCCCCACATGAAAGGTATTTCATAACTGGCAAAATGAACTTGGAACAGGACTTAACACAAATGATTGTTATACAAAGAATTCCAGGAAGGGAATCTGCTTGCTTAATTTAAGATTTGAAGTTAAATAAAACTTGGAAAATTTAAATTAATAAGAATTGAGTCTAGAGTTCTTGAAGGCAGACACTGTATCTTAGTCTTGTTTATAGCCTACTATTTACCTAGCTCAGAGTTGTGTAACAAGAGGATGCTGAGTAAATGTGAATGAATGATAGGTACATTCACACATATATGAGAACTGTGACTTGCCTAGTGGCAGATAAGGAGAGAAAATGGATTAGTAAACTGTGTTGGGAATTCAGAGACCTCAGTTCTAATCCTGTGTCTACCATTTGCCTTATTTGCAAGTGCTCCTGAAGCTAAGGACCCCCTAATTCAACAAGATTAATAATATTGCATCTGCTTTATATACAGGAGTCTCCTTAAGATTTCCTTAGGAGTGGGACAATGTTTTTTTTACAAACTTTCCAAGTCATCAAGCTTTAAAAATTCTGTAATTCTGGCCAGGTGTAGTGGCTCACACCTGTAATCCCAGCACTTTAGGAGGCTGAGGCAGGTGGATCACTTGAGGTCAGGAATTCAAGACCAGCCTGGCCAACATGGTGAAACCTCATCTCTACTAAAAATACAAAAAATTAGCTGGGCATGATGGTGGGCACCTGTAATCCCAGCTACTCGAGAGGCTAAGGCAGGAGAATTGCTTGAATCGGGGAAGCCAAGGTTGTAGTGAGCTGAGATCATGCTACTGCACTCCAGCCTGGGCAACAGAGCGAGACTCTGGGAAAAAAAAAAAAAAAAAAAAATCTGTAATTCTGGGAAACCTAGATACAGTGTTTAGTATGAAATCTGAAATTTGGTATAGTAGTGTTTGCCAAAAGCATTGGAATCATGTCTTATATACATATGAATTTAGAACATAATCTCTGCTGGAGATGAGACCCATCATCTCATTTGCTTCTTAGAAGGCTAAATTATAAAATGCAACTAACTATATCTAGTTGTCTTTAAAAACAGTATGGTCAAATTTCCAGATAGCCACTTAAATCTTGTTTCTTAAATTCAGTGATTGTTAAACTTTAATATGTAAAGAATTACAGTTCAGGGATCTGAACACAAAACCATCTGTATTACCCCATGTAGATAACTTATGTGATTTTTAAGGGTAATTTTGACATTAAGGCCATTTCCATGCAATTTACTGACTTTAGAACCTAACCCAAAGTAAAATGTTACTCTATATAGAGTCATTTGATGCCGAGATGGCAAAAAAGTTTCAAGGAGTTTCAGTTCCAATTGCTAGTGACTGCTTACAGCTCTATAATGAAAAGGATTGGGAGGCTGTGTCCTGCCTCTAGAAAGATAGTGCCATAATTCATTACTGAGGTATGGGATTAGAGGTGGGAGAGTGTTCATTTTTATTTTCAATAAAATGAGGAGGTTGAGCATGGTGGCTCACACCTGTAATCCCAGCACTTTGGGAGGCCAAGGCGGGCAGATCATGAGGTCAGAAGTTTGAGACCAGCCTGGCCAACATGATGAAACCCCGTCTTTACTAAAAACACAAAAATTAGCCAGGAGTGGTGGCACATACCTGTAATCTCAGGTACTCAGGAGGTTGAAGCAGGAGAATTGCTTGAACCCAGGAGGTAGAGGTTGCAATGAGCCAAGATCTTGCCATTGTACTCCAGCTCTAGGCTGCAGAGCAAGACGCCATCTCAGAAAAATAAATAAATAAACAATATAATAAAATAAGGAAAGTGCGTTGCCTGCCTTTTTTCCTTTTTTTTTTTTT